CTATTTGTACTATATTGTTTCCAATTTAACAGTACTTCAGTGAACGAGGATGGCTATAGTGGTAATAACTATTTGTTGGTGAATATTTTGGTCTAATTTAATCCAACAATTAACAGATACCGATGAAGACTGAACTCATATTTACTGTATGTACGTATTACATTTACTAGCCTGCTCTTGCAAAGGATGTCAGCAATACAGCATCCGAGAAAGACCCTTCCCCAGGTTTTTCAATTTCCAGTACTCTTTCTCTAATAATTTGCCTACTGGGCAGTTTATGCCAAATGGTTCACTTAATTGACCAGTTACATATGCAAATGCACTTCAATTCTGCTGCAAGTTCAGGTGAAATAACAGCAAATCATCCATGCAAAATAGATGCAGCAGAAATGCACTTCAGTTCAATATATTTATCGTGTCGGATTCTGAGGGAGAGGAGGAACAGCCGTCAGAGAATGGAGGTGTGGTTCCGGAGGTTGTGGAAGAGGCTGGGGAAGGGCAGAGGTTGGCTGGGCAGTCAGAGGAAGAAACAGGCCCATCCCCTCTTCATCCTAGGACATGCAGGGAGGATCGGAGAAGGAAACGACTTACGAGAGAGGAAGCGGCCATGATTCCCCTCATTGGTTGCAGCTGGGGAGAATAGTATATAAGAGAGATGGTTAAAACATAGCGTTGGCAGAAGCAAAGCGTGTTTTATTTTGGGCTGAAGTTATCTTGGTTGGCATCCTTCCAACAGACTGTGCCTTGTTATCTCCTTGAAGTTAGTAATTACTTATCCTGGTCGGTTGTGGAAATTCCTTCATTGTAGTTTGTTTTGGTTTTTTATTTCACCTCTTTCTGCTCATTTTCAGACTGTATTGCTTTCTTTTGAAGTCTATTTTTGAATAAGTTTTATCTCCAACTGAGAATTACTGAACAGTGGGGCCAAGTTGGAGGCATTAAAGAACATTTATTTACGTTTTGGATTTTGTTGCGTTTGTGTTACACTCTGGGTCATCACAATATTCTTATGAAGCCAAGGGGAGAATATTTTGACTGAAAGCACACAAACGCTTTAGTTGGTATCCTTTTATTCCAAGCTGCCAATTGGCAAGCTTTGGTTTTTGACAATTCTTTAATATTCTGTCATCCTCCTCTGCTGTTAAAGATGGGTGCTCAACCCATGTAGATGGTGATGTAAAACCAGGAAGCAAACCCAAATATCTCTGCCAAAGCACTATTCACCAAACAACAGGAATGGCACACTTGCTGTTCAGGATGCCTTCGATGAAAGAATCACATCCAAAAGGAAATAACAGTCATCTTACCAAATTTATTTTCAGCTTCAGTTGGGAAAGGTTCAATATAATGCTACTTCGGATACCAGGTTTTGTTACTTTAATCCCAATGTGGGAAACATTGCAATCAGTCTTAAATGCCTTAACTACATTGAACTCTGCATTGAATTCTCAAAAATCCATCTCATCCCGGGAACGCTTTTTTTGAACTATTACCATCTGGCAGATGGTACTGAATAATAAAAACAAGGACAAATAGGCTGAAAAACAGCTTCTATCCCAGGGCAGTTGCTCTTTTGAATTCTGCTGTATCGTGCAGTGTTGGTGTGGTGTTGGGGGTTTCCGGTTCAATGTGTGAAGGGTGAAGGATGTGTGTTTGTGTTTATTTTCATGGTTATGATGTGCACTGAAGATGGTGTTTGATTTCGTTGTACGAGGTGCAATGACAATAAAGTAAACTAACTAACTAACTGAAGATTTATTAAACTTTGCCACTTTTAGAATATGAAGAGCCATCATTCATCCACAAAACATAACACTTCATTTTACACGTAATTCAGCAGCACCAGCTGATTGTAGGTATTAGTACAGTAAGCTAGAGCCAGACAGATTTCCTTTTTCTTATCATCATTGCTCCCATCATCTCCAGTATCTTTCTTGCCACTCCAACAGTATTTCTTCCAAAAGAGAGTACAGGTACTCCTCAATTTATGACCACAATTGAGCACGGTTGTTAAGTGAACCTGGCTTCCCCAATGACTTTGCTTGTCAGAAGGTCGCAAAGGCGATCATGCGAACCCAGGACACTGCGACTATCATAAATATGAATCACTTGTCAAGCATCTGAATGTAAATCATGCTACAATGGTTTTAAGTGTGAAAAATGTCATAAGTCACACTTTTTTCAGGGCCATTGTAACTTTGAACAGTCGCTAAATGAACTGTTGTAAGTTGAGGACTACCTGTATTTTAATGAATTCCTTTTAAATCACTTTTAAGCATTTTAAACAGATTGAGGGAGTTGTTAAAGGATGGATGTACTTTATCCTTTTTTAATCTAAATTGATATTTCCTTATGAAGGTGGAAGAATTAAGGTTTTATAAGATCACTTATATCATTCATCTTGATATTATAGGTTGGAGGGGTTGTATTGTGTTGCACTTTCGGGGTAGAATAAAAATATTTTCTTTAAAAACCAGCAGGAACAGAATTAGAAAATTGTTACTGGCTGCTCTAAAACTTTGGCAGAGTTTGGTTCTTTCTTTAATTGAAAGTCAGTTGTTTTCCCATCATTAAAGACTACAACACATATTTGAAAGGTTTAAGGGTAGAGATTGATAATGAATGCATGAAAAGTTGACATTTTGGAATAATAATTTTTATTTGAAAGTTGCAAATTATTTTTAATTTACTTAAGCAGAAATGTATTAATATTCTATATGAATGTATTACGATGATTTCTAAAAAATGATATACATGAGGAATTTTAATTGTCTTAAATTGCAGTATGTTAATTAATTCAATTAAACAAAATGTATTTCTTAATTTGGGTAAGCTACATTTTGCCACTGAAACTTGCAGATTACACTGCAGTAGAGGATTTGGAAACAGTTTAAATCAAGAGTTTATTTTACAAAAAAACTGAATATATTGTAAGGAGGGATCTAGGTAATTTGTGAGAAATTTAGAATCCAAAGTTAGAATCCAGGAATGATTTTGTGTTTTGAAGAATATCAAATAGGACTGATTTATTAAAATATTATTATATTTTTTTATTTAAAAAGAATTGGGTATCAACCATTTTACGCTGAAGAAGAAGTATAATGTAGCTAAAACTATAAAAGTTTGCATGGAAATAAACTACCATGCCAGAGTTGTAATTCTGGACTGAAAAACAGTCTTGTTGTTCAACTCTGTCATGGCATAATAACATGGCAAAATACATATGTGTTAGTGTTTACTGTTTCAACTGCAGTTGCTATAGCTCTATAAAGTTACATTTTCTCTTCTTTTTTTAAGTTATTGGGCTGATCCACAAACTGACAGTTGTTCGGGATTTCAAACTGATTCTTTTCCATCCTCTCAAATAATTCTGACTTGCTGCCGTTCTTATGACCACTATTGCCGCTGCTGCTGCTACTACTGTTGACTCAGTCAGTGTATTTTGGCACCTGAGCAGGAATGCATCAAAGTAGTGAAATGTAGGAAAAGGTTTGATACAAGCTTTATACATGCACCAATGTACAAAGAAGCTTTAAGTTGCCAAAGTGGCAAATTGACCATGAAATCAGAATTTTGAAATATCTAGCTTTTTAAAATTTGTCTTTCATCAAAGACTTCCAGTATGTGGGATCCAGATTTGCGTGCTGAGTGGATAGAAGAAGAGGATGAAATAACATGTTTTTTCCCATGCAGTCTCCAGTACTTACCATGCTAGAGGAAAGGAAAGCTACTGGAGAAGGAATGGAAATAGCCTCTCATCTCACAAAATCTCTGGGAGAAAGGATGTGTATAGCTCTCTACCTGGCTTAAAGGTCTATTAATTACGGATTGTGGTTTTTACTAGATTCTTCAGTTGCAGAATTATGGCTGCAGAATATTGAGTGTTTTATGCTTTTATCAGATCTGCCATATATTGGGAAAGTTTTGAAGGGGGGGGGGGAGAAAAAGGGAAGTTCTGTTTTTAGCTACAGTACTAATATATAGTTTTTCAAACCTCTTGCCAAACCAATGTTCAGTCTAATCCCTGCTCTAGCCTCGTGATTCTTTTTTAAATAGATCCTTCCTTTTTTTTTTTTTCAAATTCATTAAAATACACCTAAGCCCTTCCTCTAAAAGGCTTGTTACATTTACAGTTTCTATTTGCCTTTAAATGTAATTGTATCTAGGCAACATTACTGCTGTGACATTGCAACATTTCCATTTTGAATTGGTTTGAATTTAATTATTCTTGCACAATTTTGGTGTTCTATTATTATTTATTACTCTTTTTGTCTGTAGAATATCATACAGTAGATCTCTTCTTTTCCCCCCCTCACTGTACCAAATGAAGATTTCTGGGAATTTGAAAGTCTGCACATTTCTTTCACACATTAAAATAAGTATTGCCAATTATAAATGTTTTACTAAAATTCCTTTTTTTTGCTTATTATTTGTGATAAGTGTGAATCTATTCCACATATGCAGTGCTCTAAGTGAAATGTTTAGGACATTTCAAATGAGTCACAAAGCAGCTCATGAGAGGGACAAGTAGAGAGAGACAAGTAGACAAAAAGTTGTTGTCCAGCTGAGTTCATGCCACATGTGAATAGAAACACATATAAAGAAGGTTGAGCATTTGCTGGAAAGAGTAGAAGCATATATCACCATACCACCCCAGCTATGAAGCTCCTTAGCCAATTTCCATCATAAAGTTGGCTCTTTTTATACAGGAGACAGCAGAATTCCTGGCCACAGCAGCCTCATTCATGTATCAGCCAACTGGATTATTAGAATGTGACATCCCTGAGAGCTTTCAGAGGAAGGGAGAAAATTTTGCAGTCCTAAGAGCTATTCTCGAGGTGGATGCAATAAGGGAGGGATGGAGGGAGGGAAGAAAAGAAAGGAAAGAAAAACTATTTTCCATGGCCATGAAAACTAGGACCAGTGATACAGAATATGAATTGCAGCTTCCTAGATTTAATTTAAATTCAGAAAAACTTTGTCACTGTAAGTTCTATATAACTGTTGGAACAGTTTACCTATGAAGTTGTTACATTTGATGATAATGATGATTTATTGTAGCCACCCATTACAAACAACTCCATAGTTCGTTCTAGGGGGAGGGGAGGGGAGAATTAAAAGGGCTTGGGCAACAATCTCTTAAGGGTGGCTTAATAGTTTTTCCTGCACATTTCAGAGCAATGGAATAGATGATCCATGTAGTCCCTTCTAAATCTATGATTTGACAACCTTATTATCAAAAAAGAGAAACATCTTCCCCCTTATAAAAGTTAGTTGGGCTGATGAGAACTGAGCATAAACTTGTCTTCAAAGCACAGTAGTGCTAAGGTATCAGTATAGTGCCTTGCTTTTTATCAGTCAAACTTCCGTGTCTATCATTAAAAGCACCCTTTCATTTGAAACCTATATTATGCATTCCAATTCATATTGCTTAAGACAAACATGCACCTGATATTTGCAAGTGCTATGTCTTCTTTTAGAAAAATCAGACTTCAACAGGCCTGAGCCCAATAGGACCAGACCTATCTGTCTGGAATTTAACAGGCTTCATCTTCTCAAAATAGGTTTGTTAAAGTAATTAATAATTTACTATCAGACTGCAGTGCTAAATGGAAAATAAATCAGGTATGCGTGTAACTACTTTCCATTCTCACTGCCGATTCCTATAGTTCAGTGTAGAGCTTTCTGAAAAGATTGGCTGCACTCTGAATCTCCAAACAGTTGTGCTTTTTTGGGCAGAGAATTAGAGGAGAGGGAAAGCTTGCATGGAATTTGCCATTAACAGCAATTTACTCCATTTTAGCTTTAAAAGGAAATTTACAGGCAAAGTTCCTACAAAAGATGTTTCCGTGGTTTTAAAAAATATTTTTTTCTTTCAATTTCATCTGTTCTAAAGTTTGTAATAGTTCCAGTATTCTGTTTTATATGACCCATTTAACAACATCAAAAACACCTTAAAATTATAGCTTTAGAATAGTACATATTTAGTAAGTATTTAAATACTTACTGGTAGTTACAAAAGTAGTTTCAACTAAGATATAGTTAATATTTAAATGAGTTTTTTATTTTTTAACTTGGTTAAAGTGGTTCACAAGGCCATTGAAATAAATAAAATAAAATATAGGGAAAAGTATAAAATGATAATATCAACATAATAAAAATAGATTAATTGGAGCTACTGGTAAGGATAAATCAGCTCAAATTCTGGGGAAAATCTTCAAAGTAGGCAATTTCCTAATCTCTTTTGGGAGTAGTTAAGTGTCATAGTTACAAGTTATATTTTGGTTGCCCTAAACCTTTTTTAAATAGCCAGGATCATCAGTGCCTCACTGCACCTATGTCTGAAATTGCTCTATTTTTAATGCATATTGAACTAAAGCTCATATGCACTCTGGGATGTGCTTTCTGCAATTGGCTAACTTAATTTTTCTGTACAGACTGTACAGTTTCTTCTAGAATATCATGTGCATTCAACACACACTGTTCCCCCAAAAAAATCTGAAGCAAGAAAACAATGACACAAACAGCTTTAATAATCAAGGTCCAATAATATGATGAAGAAATCAAACAATTTCACTTTCAAAATCACAAGTTTGTTTATCAGTATCAAAGATGATATTGCATGAAGTGTTTTGAAAAACTATGAAGTGTTTTTCCCTTGAAAGAGATCCATGGATGCTGCAATGTGACGATATTTCTTTGTTTTTTTTTCTTTTATCATATGATGAGCTATCTTATGACCTACTCCTTGTTTCTTAAAATAAATTCTGTGATAAAATGTTTTAGCAAAATCTACACAAAGAGAAATGGTAAACAGTTTTATTTTCTGGATGTTCAAGGTCTTTTGTAGATATATTCTGATGAATCATTATCCAAAACTTATTTAACTACTTTTAAAATTAAAGATACTGGAGTCTGTGTTCTCTAAAACCTTTCTCATCCAAAGCTTCTAATAGTTTCAATATTTCTTTTTTATTATTTTGAGAGATATGTAAAATTTGGCCATAAAGCTTAATTATTCCTAAAAATATTTATTGGATTTAAAACCGATATCCTTTAATTTGTTAGAAATCTTTTTTTTATTATCCATTCAAAATCCAGTTGTTCACTGATGGAAGACAACATTTTTAAATAGATAATATTCAGCTTATTCTGCTTTTAATCACACTGACACATATCCCAAGATTCCATTACACTTCTCCAGAATTTTGTCACATTTTTTGTGCCAGAAAAACAAAATCTAGGAAAACGCTTGATTCTTAATTGAAGCATTGCACATTAGAGGAACAGAATTTAATGATTTGATTGTAATAAAGCAAAGGAGGTAGGACATTTGAATACCTTTCAACACCTCCAATTTTCAAACACTTTTTTTTCCTTTTCAGTTTAGAATAGAATAGAATAGAACAGCAGAGTTGGAAGGGACCTTTGAGGTCTTCTAGTCCAACCACTGCTCAGGTAGGAAACCCTATACAATTTCTGACAAATGGTTGTCCAAGTTCTTCTTTAAAACTTCCTGTGTTGCAGCATTCACAACTTCTGGAGGAAAGTTGTTCCACTGATTAATTGTTCTGTCAAAAAATTTCTTCTTAGTTCTAAGTTGCTTCTCTCTTTGATTAGTTTCCATCCATTGCTTCTTGACCTGCCTTCAGGTGCTTTGGAGAATAGCTTGACTCCCTCTTTTTTGTGGCAACCCCTGAAATATTTTAAGACTGCTATCATGTCATGCCTAGTCCTTCTTTTCATTAAACTTGACATATCCAATTTCAGCAAGTGTTCATTATATGTTTTAGCTTCCAATCCCCTAATCATCTTTGTTGCTCTTTTCTGTGTCCTTTCTAGAATCTCAACACCTTTTTTTTTTACATTGTGGCAACCAAAACTGGATGCAGTATTCCAAGTGTGGTCTTACCAAGGCATTATAGAGTGGTATTAACACTTTAGTTTAATTATAAGAGTTTAATTTAAATATTAAGGTTAATATTAATATTAAGACAATTTGAGACCTTTTTTCTAGCTTTGATTTTTGAGAATCCTGCTGGCATTCTTGCATTCATCAGATTGTTTCCTTTCTTCTAATACCCTCCTATGGGTCTTCTTAGGCAGGAATTAGCTAACTCCTTTGTTGAACTGATAACAGTCGATGTTATCAGTTAATGATGGTGAATCATGTAATTCTTGGAGTTGTTCAGAGTTCCACTTGAACATTTCTAAAGATGATGTTGAACTATGGAATGGGAAGAACTGCAGAGAAGAGCTGTAAGTGCTATTCTGAAAAAAATCAGCCTGATTTCATCCTGCAAGAATCATTTTTATGTGACATTAAATATTATTCCTCTCAGGTATTTATGACATGGATATTTTTTCCCCTCTCAGGTCACCTTTTCACCCTTTTTTTAGGCAAACAATTTTAAACTAGGTTTGCTTGTTTTTTTGCTGTCTTTGGAACAAATGTCAGTTATGCTGAATGGGCATGGAATGTTACTCAGGAATATTACTCTTTAAGATGGCAACAGGTTAAACTTAGAGCTGTGCAAACTTTGAAATGCCACATTCAAATTAAGCTTGGCAAATCCCTCAAAAAAGTTAAGCATTGGCAAATTTAAATCATTTTTGACTCTAAACTGGTTTCCCCCCCCTTAGCTCTGTGCCATCACATGTGAGTTAAAACCCACAAAAACCTGCTTGCAGTGGCTTACTCTATTTTATCTTCTTGCTATAGCAGATACTCACGTCTTGCCAACTTTTTTTTTTAAAAAAAAATCCTTTTCTTAGAACCAGTAAGTTCTTTACCAGTCAGTGTACCTGGGCCTACATGTAAATTGTTTGCAGGTAATATGGTTGGTTTATTTAATGAGAAGATCAAATCAAATGTGCATTATATATGTTATTGGGTACAATCTTGTTGTATAGTCTAATAAATTTGCAAAGGTTTGTCCTGGGCCTGTCACAGTGGTGGGATTCAAATAATTTAACAACAGGTTCTCTGCCCGGTTTCTGGGTGGGTGTGGCCTTGTCCTCCGACACCATCCTGAGAGTGAAAACAGACTGTGGAGGACCCATTTTCCACCTCCCCAGGCTCCGGAGGCTTTCTAGAGGCCAGAAATAGGCCCGTTTTCACCCTCCATGGGAAGAAGATAAGCAGAGGAAGTCCCGTAGCAAAGTGAGGCCCTGTACGACACCATGCTATCAATAGGTAAGCATTTGGAAATTCTACCAGTGGCTGAAAAGGGCTGGACTTAAAAGACAGCATTGAGGCACTGATCACAACAGCACAAAATCAAGCAGTGAGCACCTGATCCAAAGAAACAGAGATCAATCATATGAGACAGGATCCAAGGTGCACACTGTACAAAGAGGCCCCTGAAACAGTCCAACATAAAGTAGTAGGATGTAAGATTAAGGCATTGAATGGCACACACAAATAGCTGGCATTGTATACCAAAACATCTCCACAGTGTATGACGTAGACCCTTCCAAGTCTAGATGGCAGATTGCACAGGCCAGGGAGAATAACAGTGCTAAGATCCTGTGGGACTTCCAGATGTACAGGCAGGTATTGGCCAATCAACCAGACATCATGTTAGTAGACAAGGATCAGAACACACTGATCATTGATAAATGTAGTGATGCAACATAGCAATATCAGGAAGAAGGAATATGCCAACCTGGAGAAATACCAGGACCTGAATGGCAAAGGATGTATAAAATAAAGGCCAAAGTATTCCCAGGGGTGATAGGAGCACTTGGGCTCCTAAACAGGGAGAGTAGTTTCAACAGATCCCAGGAACACCATCAGAGCTCTCTGTCCAGAAGAGTGCAGTGCTAGGAACAGCTACAATCCTGCAGGGAACCCTCAACCCCAGGCTTATAATAGAGGACCCAAGATTGAAGAAGGCACATACCACTCTTAAGGGTGAGAAAGAATTGTTTTTTTTTATATCCAGACACGCAGTGTCTCTCTCACACACTGTACAAACAAACAGACTTGGTTAAGAATTACCAAGCTATGGTTGGCAAATTGGGAGGAACAATTCACAACCACAACTTTATAATTATATTTGGATGGAAAAACATAGATTATCTGGGAACAGCAGTACACAAGGAATACATGGAGAATTGGGATCAAATAAATTGTCTAAAAACATTCAGAGCACAGAAGATCTCCTACATTTCTTATACAGGTAGTACTCAACTTACAAGTGTTGGCGTAGTGACCATTCAAAGTTACAATGGCTCTGAAAAAGGTTATTTATGATCATTTTTTACACTTAATACTGTTGCAGCATGTATTACATCTGTATGCTTGACAATTCATTCACATTTATAACTGTTGCAGTGACCTGGGATCATGTGATCACCTTCTGCAACTTTCTGATAAGCAAAGTCAGTGGGAAAACCAAATTCACTTAACGTCCATGTTACTAAATTAATAACTGCAGTAATTCACTTAACAAACATGGCAAGAAAAAATGTATTAACTTTCTTTTCCTTAGGGCCAATTGTTAATGATCCCTCTAAGTTTCTCGGTGGCCTGACTGCTTGTCTTCTAAGAAATTGGCCAGTTAACCTTTTAAACCTTTAAAATGTTTCTTCTGTCAGCATGTTGAAGAAGTTGGAAGAACTTTTATGTGGCAACATTTCACAATAATTTAAATGATATTACTGTTGGGATAGGATAATGTTTTTATGATGATGATGATGATGATGATACCGGTACTAATTTATAAACTGTGCTTTGGTTTTTATTGTTTGTTTACATATAAATGAATAAAACAGAAGTATCTTCCTGCAAAATATCCACAAAAGTTAGTTTGCATTTAAATGTATGATATTAAAAATAAAGATATTATGTATGATATTAAAAATAAAGATATTATTATTATTTAAAAAATAATACAGCTGCTTCTCATCTCTGATAATGCCTGAACTTGATGTTCTAACGCAGGTCTGAAAATCTGTATTATCTAGGTAGGTTTTTGGAATAAGAAAGGATAGCAAAAGGAAGGACTCAGCTCCTTCCTCATTATAAATAGTACAGTTTTCATATGAGACTTGGGGACAGACTATTGCTTATTTCTCTCTTCTACTTTTTAGGGACATCCAATATAATGTGGAGGTTGTTTTTTTGTTTTAATCTTAGATTTTCATGGAAATAAGCATGCTTAAAACAGCCGATGAAGGAGAGCTTATTCATTTCAAGAGGCCATTTCTAGTGGAAGGGCTGAGCTTCTGGCTCTGGAGAAATTAGATTCTAAATAGCTTTGTAGCATCGGCACTGTGGAAATACAAAGCTTCTTCTGGGATTCCCACTTTGTCTCTACAGGGATATAAACAATATGGGGCATACAAGTCAGTTTGGTTAAAAGAGCAACTTAGTTAATACTGGTGGTATTTCTGGGAGTTTATAAGAGTAGCTTGAGCAATGATCAGAAGCAGTCATCACAATAGCTATCTAGGTAGAGAGTCAATAAGAATGTTCTTCCATAAGGAACAAAGCTTGATCTCACAGTTGATACATTTCTTGGCTATTATTAGTTCTATTTGATTTGACCAGCTCACTAAACTCCAGGTAACTTAACTAATAACAACAGGAGCAAAAACAATCACTTTTCCGCCTAGGACAGATGAAATGATAAACTGAAAAGCAGAAGAAAATAACAGAAAATCAACAATTAAGATCAGCCAAAACATTTCCAGAGGATGTCACTAATAGGGCTTCAACTATATCAACCGGAAAATAACTCAATGAAAGATTGGAGTTAAGATCCTTGGGACTGGTGACTGCCAAAAGTCTCAGAATAACATTTTCTGGAACAACGCTCTGTACAGGCACAAATGTAGTGCACAGAAACACTAATTTCATTGTATCAGAATATTTTTAAACTATAAACTCTTGGTCAATCTCTTTAAATCTTTTGAAAGTGACTCAATCAACTATTAAAAATATTGAACTTTAAAATCATTGTCAAGGCAATAAAAGCTTCCATATTAATGTACAGATATGTATCCCTGGGTAATCCATCAAAAATGCTTAGTTGTTTTAGAACAATTTTATTGCTTTTATTCAAAAGCCATCATTATTGTGTGCATGATGTACATAATTAAATCTATTTTAAAATTATTCCCCAGTTGAGTATTAAACTCAATTGCACTCTGCAAATATTGCTTTCAATAATGCTTGTTCTAAAATACGTGGAGCTTCTAAAGCTTATTTTAGAAATCCTGGATTCCTTTCCAAAAGAGGTGCCCTCCCCCAGTAAATTCCAAAGGAGTACCTTAAGATATTTTTCAATTGGTCATTTTTGGCATACTTTTGTATTCAATGTTGCATCTGAAAGAGGAAACAAGCAGAGGTTGTTTTTTCTCATCCTGTAAGCTCCTGTGTAAGTGGTTCAGCACTGACTTCGTGAGGACCAACAGTAGGAATGTGTCTTTATCCACAGGCAGCAAAAAATGTATCATCTCATCTTGGAGTAATTTATCCAATAAGATGATTTAGGGGATAGTTCAATGGCACCAGTTTTGGAAGGCCAAAGCAGAGGGAAGGAATATAAATCAAAGGTGACTGGCAGGTAAAGGATATATGCAGCAATCAGCCAAACCATGTGCACCCTGGCACAAATTCAACAAGATCATTTATAAAAATTTTAAGTCAGGAATACACAAAAGGGGGTCTGGTGCTAACTAAATCCACAGATAGATTACACGCCACTGAAATAAACACTTCCAGATGCTGGTGTACAAAAACCTTTCACAGAAAGAAATGTTTTCTTTCATAAATTTGAAGGGAGGAACCTCGGGT